TCCTACCCCCTCTCACCAGTCAATCAGCACAACCCATAGCACCTCCAATTCTCCTCCTCCACACTTACCAATTAAGCATCCTATGCTTACAAGGTTCCAAAGTGGTCATCTCAAACCAAAAGTGCTGATGGATTTAGCCCACCAGCTCCACTCACCGTCTCCAACTTCCTTTGATGAAGCCAATAAATCACCTATTTGGAGGGCTGCTATGTCCACTGAATTCCAGGCGCTTCAAAACCAAGGGACTTGGTCTCTTGTAGATCCCTCTCCGCATCAGAATGTACTAGGATGTAAATGGTTGTTTAAGACAAAAGCCAACCCAGATGGCACGGTCGAGCGCTACAAAGCACGACTTGTAGCACAGGGATACAAACAGGAATTTGGCATTGATTATACAGACACATTTAGCCCCGTAGCCAAGTTTCCTACAATTCGCCTGCTACTTATTCTTGCTGCACATTTCCAGTGGCCGGTGCTCCACTTGGATGTCTCCAATGCCTTTCTACATGGTAAACTCCAAGACCCAGTTTTCATGAAACAACCTTTAGGATTTGTTGATCCTCAACATCCCTTCAAAGTATGTCGTCTTCACAAAGCAATTTATGGCCTCAAGCAGTCGCCGCGGCAGTGGTTCTCTACGTTCTCCAGTTATCTTATCGACTATGGTTTTTGGTCTTCTAAAGAAGACTCGTCTCTGCTGATCTTTCGCACTGAATCAACATCACTCTACCTGTTAGTTTATGTAGATGATGTCTTACTTATAGGCAATGATCACTCGGCCATGACTCACCTTATTGACGTCCTGAATGCTCGTTTCAAAATGCGAAATCTGGGCCCTGTCTCGCATTTCCTTGGCATCCACGTTCAAAGCTCGTCTACTGGTTTTATCCTAAACCAGACAAGATACATTGGAGAACTCCTCACTAAAGCAGGAATGCAACAAAGCAAGCCAGTGTTAACACCATTACCTGCAAAACTTCCACCCAGTCTGCCAACAGACGTCAAGTTCTCTCAGCCAGCACACTATCGTCAGCTAGTAGGGTCACTACAATATGTAATTATCACAAGACCAGATCTCTCCTTTGCTGTAAATTATTTATGCCAACAAATGAACAACCCCTCCGATCAACATTTTCAAATTTTAAAAGGAGTCTTACGATATCTCAAAGGCACGCAGCACCTAACTCTACCTATTCAAAAATCTGAGCTCAACCTCACTGCCTATACAGACTCAGACTGGGCTGCGGACTCGGTAGACCGCCGATCGGTAACTGTTTTCTGCACATTCTTAGGTTCTAACCTGCTATCCTGGCATGCTAAGAAGCAACCAACTGTTGCTCGCTCCTCTACCGAAGCTGAATATCGTGCATTAGCAGCTGTTGCCAGTGAACTCATGTGGCTCCGACGACTTCTAGCTGATTTCCACATCTCTTCCAATGAGGCCACACCAGTGTACTGTGACAATATTTCCGCAATTGCGTTGGCAAATAACCCTGTTTTTCATGCGAGAACCAAGCACATTGAAGTAGATTATCACTTCATCCGTGACTGCATTGCTGCAAAACATCTGATTGTACACCACATTTCCTCCCAAGACCAGCTTGCTGATATCTTTACCAAAACTCTGCCTACTGCACGCTTCACCGCTTTACGGGACAAGTTAATCAATTCCAGCTGAATTGTTACCTTGCGGGGGGTTGTTAAACCATGCACTTTAGTAGCCTGTGTTGATAATGACTTACTGTGCTTATTCGTTATCTTTGCCAACGACTCAGGCAAATGGCTTACCCACTCACTCTGGCATGACTCAGTGAGTCTCGGTGGTGTTGATGTGATCGGTATATTTTGACTCCTTTCCATTTGTTTTTTGTGTCTTTAAATAAATCTATATTATAGCTGTAAATTAATACGTGAGATTCCAACAAGAAAATGATCTGTGTTGCAACACATCCTATAAATTTTTCATGAACTTATTTCAGACGATGTTTTTCTAATCTGGAATTACTGCATGAACAGAATCAATAATGTGAGAATTCTTAGAGAGATTATTCTGTGCGGTGCCCGAACGCTTTTGGAGGTCAATCCGGACGTGCCACATCATTTTGCACTGTGCATTGGATGACGTGCCGCATCCGAATTGGCCGAACACCGCATGTAATAATTTTTCAAATTCATGACGCTCATCATCTCTGATGATAAATTGCACCATGCACACTTAGTCATAGGTCGTCATCATCTCCAGAAAATAATTGAGTTGGTCCTCTGATTCTTTCTAAAGAATTGAAACAATTTCCGACTATATAAAAATATAAGTTTGATCCCTTGACTTTTTAAATAGGAATCAAAAGTAGTCCTTTAAAAAGATCATTGAAGTCCTTATTTAAAAAGTGAAACTAAAATGAAATTTTCAAGTAGTTGTGATTATTATGATCCTTATCTCTATTGATGAACCTATATAAAATTACCTTTGCTCTTATGACCTGATCTTCTTTTCTGTATACAATTCTTTTTTGCTCTCTGTTTATGACATACTATTTCAACTGTAATATGATGAATATTGGTTGCGGTGGATGCAGCATTTATCTATTGAAAGCCGGCCATTATGACCATGGTTCTCGATGCACTGACATCTCCGCACAGGAAATCTCAAAGCCCATTCTCCCTCTCATCATCTCCCTCCAAAAAGCATCGAGACGAGTTGGGCAGCTGGTCCACTCTGCTGGACCGCCATCGCTACCTCTTGACAATGCTGGCCTTACTGGCCTTCCTCTGCACCATCTATCTCTACTTCGCAGTTACATTTGGTGCCACAGATTCATGCTCTGGACTCTCTGGTGCGCAGAAGGCTCTGTGCATGGCCAAGCTGATGCCAAAGAAGGGAAAGTTGAAGTTCTTCTAGCTTTTCTTGCCCTTGTAAGTACTCAGACTTAGCTTCGTTTGGGAAAACTTTCTTAGTGTTTTTTAAAGTTGTTTTTTAGTACAAAAATTAAATTTTTTTACTAAAAATCTACTTTTTAAGAAGCAGTAAAAAAATTGTCCCAAACGGAGCCTTAGCATATCCAGAAGTTTGGATACCCAGATTCCTTGATGACCTGGTTTTCTTTGTGATTTACTCTCTGGAACATCACTGACTTCATACTGCTCAACTGTTACTCGCAAATCCTGCATTCAGGTTTAAATAAATATATGTGCAGATTGCCATTCATCTTTTTCCAAACTTATGATTATTGCTGATTCTATATGGTAGATTAAAATTTTGTGGGTGTCGATTATTTGTATTTTTAAATGAAAGAAATTTATTTATTTACTTGCGTTTATTATACTAAACGAATTCTTTTCATGCTTCTTAATTATTTTACAAATAAATAATGGGGAAATAGTCTTGTGGTGCCAGAATATTCTTTGTTAATTTAATATTAATTTTTTTTTTAATTTTGAATGATAAAAATAGAATTTTGAAAGATTTTAAAGTTTAGGGTTAAGGTTCTGTCTAAGAAGATTGTCTTTTTATAAGGATGATTGTAAAATTGTTTAGGGAAAATAGTTATTTTGAAAGCTGTTGTAAAAAAAAAAAAATTGTCTAGTACATAAATTTCTTAAAACGATAAGAAAGTGATAGCCATATAGAAACTGTGAAATAATAAAAAAAGTTGTTTCAAATAGGCTCTAAGGTTTCGTTTGGGACGACTTTTTTACTGCTTCTTAAAACAATTTTTTAGTTAACAAATTTTAATTTTTGTATTAAAAATTTGCTTTAAGAAATATAAAATAGTAAATTGATAAATTTGAAGAATAAGAAGCATAAATTAAAAATGTGCAAATATAAAAAAAAATCTAGATGATTTGGATTCATAATAAGTAGCTTATGGTGCCTCAATAATTAATACAGTTACAAGTTTTGCCAAAATATTTACATGAAATGCAATTAAAACCTATTAGTTCTAACAATTATAGATCCTACTATAATGAGAAAACAAACAAAAATAAAATACAATTTGAATGTAAACAAAATTTGTTGCTCAATGAGAACATCATTCAAACATTTTCCATCTTTCTAAATCCAAATAGGATGATAGCATGATAGCTCTATTTGATGATATTTCAATGAGTACAAGAAAACTTAATTCTAAATTTTTAAAATTCCTATTAAAAAAATTCAAATAATAAAAGGGATCACTTTGGATCGTCCGATGAATTGTCTTGATTTATGACATAAATGTACTGGAAGGTCCCTCTGCGATGTGATTTTGATGAAGAGAATTCATAGGCTTCGAGAATTATATAGCTTAGTTACAACCAACATCAACATTTGCAATCAATCAATATCGATATTCATGATCAATATCACCTGAAGTTATTCAATTATTAATATTTGACACTAGCTTTCCCAGTCATATGATCTCCTCTCATATAAAAGAAGAATGATCAATCATGCCATTGAATGTTGATCGATGTTATTTTTTTAAGCTGATCATTATTCAATGTTTACTGATGTTTTGCATTTACTAGTCAATGATTTCTAACATTTTCCTACGTGGTTAACAATCTCCCTTTTAATAAGGGGAATGAACAAGAAAATAATCAATCATCACTTGGTATCCAACCTTCCCAATTGATTGTTGTTAATGCATATCAATGTCTGGTGTCTACTAGCAACTAATGTTCAATGCCCACCGAATCCCATTCGAAAGTCAAGCAGAATGCGCCACATCATCTTTTTGCTCGGTACCGCGGCACGGTATTGCTCGCTACCGCTGACGTTGTTGCACCTGATTAGCCTCCAGATATAGAGCCCCGTCTGCCTCCACTCAGAATATCCATGCATCTACTTTTATAATGAAAATGATATATCAAACCACTTATTATCACTTAGACACCCAACATTCCTAGTCAACTAACATTTGACACCTAACATTATAAAAAATTTGTTATTGATCTATTATCAAAATAATAATATTATTTGAGCTTTATATTAGGCCAATATTCTACTACAAATTATTATTTTTATTACAGCTCTTAAGCCTTACGCTCGGAGGGAAAAGAAAACCCAGAGAAATGGCGGGCTCTGGCGACCTCCAGCTCTACCGCTATCCTCAGTCTAAGTCCGTCGACGCCGTCCGGTGGCTCCATCCCCTCTCCGCCTTCGATCGCTTCATCGCCACCGCGCTTTACGACACCGACGACGCTTCATCATCCGTTGATATACATTCCCTGAACCTCAACTCCGACCCTGAAAACCCTAACCGTAGCAAGCCTCTTCTCCGTCCCCGCTGCAGCTGGCCATCTCCATCGCGAATTTCGTCCCTCCGAACCTCAGAGATCCCTCAGAAGCACGTTGTCGCCGCCCTCTCCACATTTGCTGGATACGTTCACTTCCTCTTTATGGATCCTATAGATGTATCTGTGGAATTGGAGCTCTCTACTGATGAGGACCAGCCTCTGCACAATGCGTCGGTCTCAATCGTGGATCTCCAGGATGGTGGGCATGAGTGCCTGAGCGTGGGTGAGGACGGGAGGGTGAATCTGGTATCGGTTGGTGAAGGAAGGCTTGATACTCAGCTGGTGCACGATAATCGGGGGTTGGTATCGTATACGGCTGTGAAATGGGGGTCACAGGCAGAGTTCGCCACCGGAGGATTTGGCTTTGGATTGCAGTGGTGGGACCAGAGGAAGCCTGGGGGATTAGTGTCTCAGCTCAAAGGAAATTGGTGAGTGCTTCGATTTACCTGCTAGCTTGTAGTGTATAAATATTAGAGTCTTTAAACTCCAAAGAACTGTTTGGCAACAAGTAGAATTCAGTTAATTTTGGAAATTAGAATTTAGTAAAGCATGAGAGTGTTAAGTCCTAAAAATTTGTTTGTATGGCTTCTATTAAATCTACGTACATCCTGTTATATTGTTAAGTTTATGTTTTATAATTTAGAATTTAAATGTATTATAAGTCATAAGATTTAACTAGGATAGTTGAATTAAAGTTATGATTTGGTGTTAGCACAAATGATAAAAAAATCAGCAAAAAAAAAAATAACACGAAGATAAATACAATAATAACCGTTAATAATCCATCAATAATAGGTTTTTTGGGCGTTGGAAACATTCTTGAACTGATTAAGAATCTTGAAAGACATAGTCGGTACTTCCTGCACTTACAAGAAAAACACAGTGTCTGCAATAAGGAATATTTTCCAGAGAAGACACTCCAATAACAAAGTTAATAAGTAAGCTTGAAACAAGATAAGAGTTTGAAAGTAATTCAATAGCGCCTCTATTAAAGAGTGAAATAAAGTGAAGAATCCTCTTACCTCTCTCCTTGTGGGTTAGTTATGAACATTGGGGTGAAGCACACTTTCATACTCTTTATGAAGCATATGATGGATAGATGCACCGCCTCACATTCAAGATCCGTATTGGACCAAACAGTTTGTTCCTTTGGCAAATCAAAGTGTGAAGAATTAAGCCATATTATCTTCTAGATTTGTAGTTGACCACCATCCATTTTGGGATGATGGGAAAATCAACAAAGGCCTTATATTTCAACATTAGTGTGTTGGAGATCTAATCTAGACCATCAGATCTATAAGGGTGGTTTTGCGATTAGTGTTGCTGTTGATTTGAAGTGGACTATCAGACTTTGGTTGATGCCTTAAGATTGATGCTAGATTCTATGGATCAAATGGATGGGTCTTTAAGTGATTTAATAATCAAAATCTTGATCTTTTGTTGCTTAGTCTTGCTCCTGTTGCATATATGATAGATATATAAATCTTGATGCTTTGATCGTTGAACTGAGCTTAATCCCAAATTGATATATTTTAGGAACACATCATTTGTCCCCTTCTTATTTTTCTTTTTGAATATTTTGTAAAATGCCTGAAAAAAGTTTCTTTTACTCTAAAATTAATCATTCCATGGATAATTGTATTATTTGTGTCAGATAAAGTTGAAGGCCGTATCTTCAAAAATATTTCATATGCGATTAAGCTCAAGTTTGTCCCAAATTAACACAGCATAGTCTAGGCATATGTAGTTCAAGCATGTGGTCCAGAAAATATTGTGATGTGCATCCGCATGAAAAGTGCCAATAATTGCTCATCTCTACTAGATGTTTGTCATTAAGCAGGGTTGCTTCATTGAACCTTACCCTAGATTATAGTGTGTAGGAGCCTGTTGTGATTTGTGCTAGCACTTGCCATGCATGCAAACACTATGAAATTATCTAGGCTGCAAAGGATCAAGCCACATAGGCTTGGATTGTGTTGCACAGATTTTGGGTGGACTCAGGTTTAAGTATGTCCAAATAATTTTTCAAGTTGTATTTCGACCTCCTGAAGAAGGCAATAATCAATAGCTAGCCAAAATAAAATATTTAATAGCATTTTATAAAACCCAAAAATAAGGAGGCAAATGATGCATCCCTAAAAATATTAGCTCTATTTTAAACTTGATTGTATGATTAAAAGCATCCAGATCTGTGTTTTTATTATCTCCATGCAAGGGAATAGGACTAAGCGATACAGTTCATCTATATATCAATTGTGGATCGCTTTTAGGCATGTAAAGATCCTTCCATCGCATTCTTAGAATCCAAAATCAATCTTGAGGCATCAACTAAATTCCGGTGATCCACTTAAGATCATTCACGACATTGATCCAAAAGTCACCCATGTGCATCCAATATTACAAATTAAATCCAGCACTAATCTCAAAACATGAGGACTCTATGGATCTCCTTATCGTCCTGCAGGATATGATTGTTTGGCAAGATTTTGAAGATGACATGGCTTGATTCTTCGTTAATTGGATCAATGGGAGGACCATATTTCTCTCAATTGAGGGGCAACTTGGTCCAGCTCGAATTTTAAAGGTGAGGCGGTGCTTCAATCCATCATATGTTTTGCTAAATGTACCAAAATGCTATTTACTCGAGCTCCTATAAATATCTTTCATGGGAAGAGGTATAAGTAGTCTTCACTTCTTTTTTGGGAAAAGATTTAAATGGTCTATTGACTCTTTATGAATGATCAAAATGGTCCCCTAACTATATTAAAGGACCATTTGGTCTATTTTGATATTTCATAAAGAGTCAAGTGACTATTTTGAACATTTTCTCCTTTTTAACTATATGAAGAAGGTCATGCTGAGATGTCTCTGACTTCTGTTTGCATTCAAGCTCACTTACTAACTTAAAATCATGGTAATTCCCCAAGGTAATATTCATTGAGGCATATTCAGCGATTTTTGAATATGTATGCAAAAGGTAAGCACATGCCATGCAATGTCTTTTGAGATTCTTGATTGACTCAAGATCATTTCTAGCACACAACAAAATTTAATATTAATTTATAAGAATTAATATTTTAAATTAGAAATTGTAAACTTTTTCTGCATTCTAAATGATGGGAAGCACTTTCAATTATAATAAGATCATGCAATAAAACTCAAATAAATTATGAACATGTAATAAATTAAGCATATGAACATTAGTATGTTGTTCTTATTATCTTTAAATGCATGATCAATAGCTTTTAACTTTGATTCTCTTTTGTCTTATGGAAATTCATAGAAGGTGCCATCATTATATTAAATCCTTTAATAAAACTTCTATAAAAAATTGCCAAACAATGAAAACTTATATCTTCATGCATCTTGGTTAATTTTAGCCATTAGTTAATTACTTTTTTTACCATGCTATCAATAGATATTTCTCTACTTTAACTGATATATACCTAAAAAAATTACAGATTAAGTGACAAAATTGCAATATTAGTTATTTTACTATAATTTTTCTTTTTATAAGACATTAAAACTCTTTTAAGATGTCTAAAATGATTTTTTCTAGTTTTATTATATCTCAAAATATTATTTAAGTAAACAACTATTAAACATCCATTAAAATATTGAAGAACTTGATTACTCATTCTTATAAGAGTACTTGGTGTTTCAATTAATCCAAAATGCATGACTAACCTCTCGTATAACCCATATTTAGTGTTAAAAGCTATTTTAAATTGAACACATTCACACATTCTAACTTGATGATAATCACTTGTTAAATCAATTTTCCAGTGAAATATATAATTTTAGTTTTCATGTCAAGTATATCATTTAATCTTGGTCTTGGAAATGAATATTTGATAATGATTTAATTAATTATTTTTTTATCTACACACATAAACCAAGCTCCATCTTTCTTAGAAGCAATTAGTGTCGGGACAATGCGTAAGCATATGCTTTATTAAATATTTTTTCAAATAAATAATTGACTAGTTTAGTACTGTAAGTTGTATGCATCCTACAATGTTGGAGATTAGGTAAATATGATCATAAGTATTATTTTTTACTTTAGCGTAATAAAGCTAAAATGATTCAGTTTAAGATTTAATTTTCAAATGCAAGTTGGAAATTTGGCTCACTTGATTCATTATGCTAGGAGTGGATCAAAAGCCATTATTTACTATGATATTATTCATGCTGTGACTAGTGGTCTCCATTATGCTAGGAACGGATTAAAAGCTTTACAACTACTATATATGCATTTGTTCATTAATATGTATTTAAGAGTAGGTTATGCATTCAAACTAATCTTGTCTCCTCTCTGGGATGGAGAGGAATTTATTAGTTCTTCAAATCTACTGTATTTTCCTTGCAAGTCTATCCGATTTCCTTCATTCAACTTGATAGAGTACTTTTTTTCCAAATACATGTGCTTTGATAGGCCTTTGTGTTACTGATTAGTTGCCAAAAAAAAAAGTGAATGGCAATTTTAATCTCCTTTGTGTTTCCTATCACTAATGCAAAATGCAAATTTGGAATATTTGCAGCTTCTTAAGCAAGAAATTATGGAACTAGTACTTTTCCATGTTGTTAATTCTGGAGATCATGATTTTGTAGGGCTCAAGGAAACGTGACAGGCATTGTGCATTCGATTGATATACATCCTTCCAGAAAGCATATTTCTGTTGTAAGATGAGTTTTTTGTTTTGTAACATTATATTCTATTTTGGCATCACCTTGATCATTTCTCATAGCAATTATTATGCTGTTGATATTTCCCATCTTTAGCCTGTCTAGAAGTATGCCACATCCAACCATTATGAGCACAGTCGTACTAAATCAGTAGCCACGTTTACACCCCCATGTATTTCCCATTATATAAAAGATTTTTGTTCTTGTTAAAAGTGCAAAACTTTTATCGTCTTGATTTTATCATAAAAATTGAAGTACTTCCAAAAGTATTGCATTCCATTGGTTCTTGTTCCTTATGGTTTAAAGTTGGATTGCTATGTTACTAAGAGTTGCTTATTGAAAAGATGTTCTTTAAGTTATTGAATTAGTAAATGATGGTTTTAATTCTCGATGAGGAAGCTTCTTCAAAAATATGTTGCATTTGCATAAAACTTGTCAGTCAGGGGAATTTGTTACCAGACAAGAAGGTTTTATTTTGCAATTAATGAAACATTTGATCTTAGATTGAGAAGCCAAAATGCCAGGCCGATCTGATCATTTGGGGTGGTAAATTCATATTTGCGCTCTAAATTTAAAGATATAAAAAATTACCGTTCTTTAAATACAGACCAGGATTTTTTTGTTTATTAGTTTATAATAATACCCGGACTCACTTTTGGCCGAATTAAATGTAGACGTGTGAGGTTTGGTACCTATAGGTAATTTTTTGTTCTCAAATTATGATGCCAGTATCTACATTCTTAGTGTGAATTATAGATGGTTTTGAACTCAATTTTATCTGTCCTATTTTCATGGCAGCCATCCCCTTCATGAAGAGATTTAAATATCTATTATTGAATTAATATTTGACACATTTGAATTATTATTATTATTAAAATAATATTATATTTTGGCTTGTTTTCATGGTTTCTTAATTTGATGTGGCTAAACCAAAAATGTATATAGGTTGGCCCAATGTAATGTCCCCATTTGATTCACTAAATAGCTTTAGTTAAGTTGTAACTAAGTTCCATATATTGGTTACCCTGGTTTAGAATGGCTAAACTTTATATAATGAAACATTTCGCCCACCTCGAAAATCTTTGCTATCTGATTAGCCTAGTCCATATGTGGTGAAAAACTTCCTGGATCACATTTAGAGAGCATCTACAATTTGCAGTGATCGTTTCAGGGATGGTTCTGGTATGTAAGCCATCTAATTTTTAAAAATGAATTAATATTCCTGAAACTATTGTCAGACAGGTCTTTTCCTTGTACTTGTTAATATATTTAGATTTAAATACTTTCTCTTTTTGCAGCTATCATTTGATTTCTTGATTAATTGTTTTATTAATGCTTGAAGGTGGGTGGTTCATCAGGCACAGTGTTTGCTTGGGATCTACGGTGGCAACAGCAACCGATCTTACTTTCTGGAGTAGGGGTAGCAGGACAATCTACCTTTGAGAGTGAGATTTGGGAGATCCAATATGACATCCATGCTCAATCCTCAAGCATCAGCTCAACCTCTTCCACGAAGATATTACCTGTCATGTTTTGTTCAGAAGATGGAATTCTTGGTGTTATCGAACAAGGTAATTTTTCTTTTATATTTGTAACTTCAGGTTGAGCTCTTTTTATGAAAACCAAATGTGAAAATGACTTGCAAGTTACTGGATGATTGATTAGCTATAGCTTCTCTTTGTGGGCTCCAAAAATTGGCGCCCTTGCCTCTCCTTGACCCTTTTCTTTCTTCAGGTCGTCGAGGAGAGTTTTAACGAGTATGCTCCGAGGCAAATTTTCAGAAGGAAGTTGGGTTTTGAATAAGATATTCCCCAAAGAATTTGCCCCTATTTTGCAAGGATTTTATGCTTTGAGTTCAGGTTTCCTATAGGCACAAGCCCCTATGGTTAATTACCCCTCCCGATAGCGAGAGAGAGTTTTTTTATTAAGGCTAGTCGTCAAACAAATACAGGGTATCTGGTGTACAGTAACAACATGATTTATGTCTAAGGGAACAAATTTGAAGCCACCTTAGCTAACAGAGGACTTTGTGCCTTATTGGTCATATTATATTGATTTATTGCTCAATGATTTAACTTCATTGGGGAACATACGGGCTCTTACCACGATAGTAATTTAATTGTGCCATTTGGTGACAAAATCACCCGGTCAGAGGGTCCCGGTCATAACTATTTACCTCTGGTGCCATTTGGTGATGAAACTGCTGGTTGTAGGACACGTGTTACGTCCTTGCTGAAAAGAGATGATTTGATAATAAATCTTAGTAATATTATCAACTAGACATTTGCTCTTTGTGAGCTAGAGTGATTTTTATATGTCCACTTCGGCAAATTATTGTGGATGGTGGATGCGTATTTTGGCCTTAAGTATTTTGGTGATTTATTTTAATTTTAAATATTGTCATCATTAACTATATTTCATAGGGAATTTGGAGATATTTTGAATATTTGGGGTCTCCTCCGGTTGAGATTTTCTATTAACACAGTCATCATCGGGGTAACTTTATTGTCACTTTAGATGCTTGTGCTTTATAGGTATGAAATTTGGGAGACATTTTAAATGTTTGAAGGTTCCTTCTGTTTAAGATTTTCTATCAGCATGACAATCATTGGGGATCTTATAGGCTATTTCTTTTTGTTGGTTGGATCTTGTCGACTATATCAACTTGCATACAGAGGATCAGGTTTGTTGTCGTCTTTATGTCTTTATTAATGAATTTATCTTGTAATAGGTCTTGAAAGTCAAATATGAACGTATAAAATAAATATCCCGGTCGATGTCACAACTGTATATTTGTTCGACAATTCGAGCCGTGTTGACTCTTATATTTTCACATAAAAGGATCGGGCTCAAACTCAGGTTCATTTCTTGACACATGTTGCAACCTCAGACATACATCATGCTCGTCAGAGCCCATGCGGGTAATCATATTTTAATGCATGAAGGGAAAACATTTAAATATTTAAATATAATTATTTACACTAAGTGATTGTCGCTAAAGTTTGTGCAAAATTTCATTTGAAGCTTGAGAAATGCCTTATGTCTGCTTGTACAAGTATTATAGATTTGGTGGCGTTGTTTAGCAGCACGCTTTCATTCAGCATTTGCAGATCACGAGCAACAATAACATTAAGGTATAATATATGGCAAACAACAGTTCCTGCCTTCAAAGCTAATGCCTTAATAATCTCAAGCCTCTCCTGTAATACTCTGTCAATTTTCAAGGGACTGCAATCCTTTGGAGCTTTAACAGAATAAGAAATTAATGTCTCTAGCAACTGCAGAGAGGATGCTCGAGCTCGAGTTTTGCATCTCACACTTGCCTAAAACTTGGCCTTCAGCTTCAATTGCAAGATTTTCTAAGTTGCATTTATAAGAAGGTTCGATGAAAATTACTAAAGTGGAAAGTTAATTGTTTGGAAAGTTTTGGGGACTTTTTTATGGCTCTAATCCTTCCATTTTTTGGGCCATTAAAGCATCTATGGATAACATGAGTGATATCATAATTTCCTTAGCGAACAGGGTGTTCAGCTTTTAAACATGCTTAGAACCAGCCTACATTTAGAATAGCTATAAACTTCTTCAGTGTTCTAGTGCAGGTTACATCCTCATCTTCTCATCCTTAGAGAGATTAGCTCTACAAATCATTCAATCGTTGCTTAGACTAGATTAGGATATCCAAATCATATGAGGTCATTCTATGGTAGATGAGGTATCATAATCTGATGAAACCAAATGCTTGATTGATGCACTATTAGATTTATTTTTCTTCGGTTTGTCACATAATGCAAGCTTCATTAACATTGCTTCATGCTGTATGCATTTAGGGTCTTGTGCTATTATCCATTGGGGAGCTGCTTTGAATGCAAATCTTCTAGTGTCACCCGTAGATTTTTGCATTCACCACATTTCTTCTGCATCTTGCCTGTAGGTAGCATGTAGTGTGTATGGAGATCTCCTACGTGTCTTGTATGTGCTTGTATTTGTTGCAAATCAACAATTTTTGTCTGCAAGATACCGATGTATTTGCTGAAAGCTTTATTACTATTGATTGTATGAATTCCCTGGCAATTGTTGCATGTTGTTTGTGTGTCTGCAGGAAATATCATCATTTGTAGGCAAGTTTAGTGTGTTCATTTGCACACTACTGCTAACTGTCGGTCAAGCTACATTTGCCTCCAATCTCTTTATGCATATTGGCCAGCGAGTTGCTATATTCATTACAAATTGGTTTTCCAATGTTCGTAGGAGACTGATACATTTGACTGCATGCTATTATTAACTATTGGTTGAGCTGCATTCGCCACTCATTTCTCCATACATGTTGACTGTCGAACTGCTACATTCATTCCATATTGACCTTCAGTGCTCACTAGGAATGATACGCTTGTTTGCAAGTTAATGTTGCAGGGAATATTGCCATTCACAAATAGGATTTGTATGTTCGTTTGCATGTCGATGTGGGCCACTAGTTGAGCTGCATTCATTACAATTTGTTGTCTTGGATTGTAGATGATGCGTTGAATGCATTATAATTTCCTTATCTTGTCATATGCATCAAATCATTTTGTTCATTGCACATTGACCACTTCTTCTGTCAGGGAATTGCTATGCTTGCTTGAAATTGAATTGTTATTGATGATATAGATATCACTGCATTCATTATGCATTCTTCATATTCTACTTATGAACATCCCTTGTAATCAGATTACATGTTCGTATTGCTCGTCGCTTGTGGGTAAGACGTAGGAATTTTCTTCACCACAGGTCATTGCTTGCATGTAGGCTATTGTGTGTTCATTTGCCAATTAATCGGCATCGGTAACAAGGAGGCTATCTGCCTTTCAATTCCCTTGCTTTGCTTGCAATCATACTACAATGATTCATTGCCTATGACCGCCACCAAATCATCATCTTCATTACATGCCCTCTTATTGACTACATCTAGACAATTTGTTGCACACATTATTGATCATTCACCGCATTGCTTGATGATTCATGACATGAGTGATAGCACTATCATTATTGCTAGTTAGCATTATCACTTTAATTGATATAACCAACAACAACAACAACAACAACATCAAGCCTTTATCCCACTACGTGGGGTCGGCTACATGAATCCTTTTTCTCCATTGTGTCCTATTAAAAGTCAAATTCTCACTTTAATTGATATAACCATCATGAATAAATTGTAGCATTCATTATAGACTTCATATTGTGGCCTACAAGTAAGTTGTTTTTAAGGTTCTTTATCCGACATAAACTCCATGTTCGTTCATTTACATTAAATAAAAAGAAATATGCTATTTTGCACATTAGGATTTCATTCTTAAATATTATGTCTGGTTCCCTATGATTGTTCAAGTTCTGTTCCCTTCGGTTCTATTGAATTCAGGTCCCCTGTAATTTTGTTCAAGTCTAGGTCCCTTGTCATTGAAAATTGCGACAACCTCTCGGTATATCCCCCGTTTTGAGGAAATTTTGAGAGTCTTAGCCTGCCACCACATCAGACAAAGACGTGCATGGTCGGTGTCGGATGACACCGCGGCCATGATCTTTCGATCCCACCATGCCAGCTAAAGTGTGTATGGGTCTTCAGGTTACATGTTTGAAAATATAGTTTTTTTCTCACAGACATTAAGGCACAAACATGGGTATTTAAATTTTACCCCGCCACGCTAGAGAAAAGCGTGCACAAGCTTACCCGCCTTGCCACAAGCATCGTACCCGGTTCTCTCCACCACGCTATAGAAAAGCGTGCATAAGTGATTTTCCAGTGCGCCGCGAATGCCGAAAATAGGATTTGAGGCTTTTTTGAGTTTAGAGCATATTCATACCTTCGTAAGGTTCGACGACGGCGATGTTGAGGCGAAGACAACTGTATTGACGTTGAGGGCGCGAGGATCGAGGCACAAAAAATCTCTTTTCTTTCTTTGCTCTTTTTTTCTTTTTCTTTTCTTTTTTTTGAATATTTCTCTTTTTTTTTTCTTTTTTTACTGATGATAAAAGTGATTAAAATAATGATATTAATATTAATATCAATATTAGTAGTTAATGATAGTAACTGCTAATAATAATGATAGAATGAGGGATTTGAGAGAATAAATACTCTCTATTTTGAGAAGTGTGGGGTTGCAAGGTGGAGGATTGGGTTCAGTGAAGAGTTATTTTGCTAATGAAGAGTAAGGGAATTGTAGTCTGATTGATTGGAGTGGGTTGTTGTTGTGGCGAGATCGACATAGTAGGGTAGTAGTGGAGTTGCAGCTTGAGGGTTCGATCTGGTAAAGGAGATTAGAGGCTTGGTGAGGTGTGGGAGGAAATAAGAAGGTTCACTGTGGAGTTCAGCATAATAGGAGGGGGAAATCGAAGTGTGAAGAGTTGGTAGAGGGAGATTAACACAGTGAAGTGCGGCTGGTAAGTAATAGGTATTAGAGGTTAATAGGTATTTTATAAATCTATGACATCATTATAGAAATATTTTTTATTGGCAGTATTATGGAATGATGAAATGAAATGAAGTACGCCTGCTCGATCCATGATATAGTCTCTTTCTTTCCCATCCACATTTTGGAGTTGTCTGCGAACTCAAATTCAACAATGACTTTGCAACGATGGCGCTTTCATTGAGATCACCGGGTGTTCCTTCTCCACTTTTGATTGCCCTACCATTTTCTTTCAATGCCTTTCAATGCAAATCCAATCATTGCCACCTCACCACTTTCTCATCCTTGTCCCATCCAGATCCTCTTCCCTCTCTGCCATCATGCCGTCAATCTCAACATCCCTACCATGTAATCTTAAGACCAAAAAAATCTAGATCCTCTACAAAAGCCTCATTGACTCCCCGCTACTTCCATATCTAACATGATACCATTTAGATCGCTCTGCAATAACCTCAATAACTCAATGTCATAGTCGGCCGATCCAATGTATCGTCTCACCCGGCATTCTGCAATTGTGTCGAAACCCCAATGGCAGGCCATAGTTGCATTGTCCTATTTTTGCATGTCATCTACTATTACTTGCTAGACCTTGAGGGAAAGGTCAATTTGAAGGGGCAGATAATGTTAAGCTCAATAATTATGATGGGAGTATTAGGCTTAGATTAGTATGTATTTATATTTTACAGTCATTCTGTGCATAGGTAAGTAATATGTATTAGCGGTTAATAGGTAGTTTAAGAGTCTATTGTGTTTTTGTTTTTCTCTAAATTCTCTCAATTTAGAGTATTAGGGCATGCTGAAATGAGGTAAGCCTCCCCAACATGTGTTCTGTTGTCTTTCTCTCCCCCACCCAAATTTTGGAGTTGTTGGGGAATTTCAATCTACCATTTATCCTGTTTCAGCAATGGATTCATAACAAATAAGTCCACAAAATGCCCGACAGAAGAAGCAACACTACTTTTCTGATAATAGTGTTGCAGGAAACACCCGTAGAAAACTTCAGGAAATGCATAATCCATAATACAAGAACCGCATAAAGAATGCTGCATGCATCAGGCCATCAGTTATAAAGATCACCTATTGGAATCTGCAAGAGCATAAGGCTATGGAAATTAGCAAAACAACAATCACAGTAATGCTATAGGAGTTTAAACGAGTCCAAAACCTATTGTAGGATAGTTCCAAACAAGTAATTCTAAAGCTCGAACGAATTACTCTAAAGCTTCAAATAACTTACTCCAAAGCTCATTAATCCTTAGACTCATTAAAAGATTAAGACACGGTTTTGAGCAATATGAGATATTAGTTTTTCCATTTCAAAAGCATCACAACTATAGAGAATACATCCCATTTTTAGAGGCACATTGATGTAAAACATCAAGCAATAGATTATCACAACCACACTACTAAATCAAAGATCAAGAATTCAAGATGAGATTAAGAGTCAAGATGGCACTATCTACTTATCATAAGAACAAGATTGAGGACTAAAAGAGCTTCATCAACCATGAAAAAATTTAAGAAATCTTGATTTGAGAATATTTGAAATTATATTCATGATTAAAGTTAAAAAATTAAATCTTTAAATTTTGAATTTTGAATTTTCAAACTTAAATCTTTCCCTCCAAATGTTTGGTTCTTTATTATTGATTTCCCTTTTTTTTCATCCTAGTTTGGAAGGTGAAGGTACTTGCCACTTCAACTAGGGGTGTCAATTTTTGACACGACCTGAAATCCCGACCCAAAAAAAAAATCTAATTTATGGTTGACCCATTTAACAAACGAGTCAGGTTCGAATTCTAATTCCTGACCTATTTAAAAAATCAGGTCGTGTCTGTGTCAACCCGCTAACTTGGAAATGACTTGCATGCAACCCCACACATCCCACAGTCCTGCCCTGACCGCATTACACTTGCGGCTCACCTATGACCTCCATCGGCCTCGGCCTCCTGCGCTCATGCTGTTAGCCTTGCACCTGTGCCCGCTCGCCTGCTAGCGGCCTCACCTTCATCCTCGCCCACTCGCGATCGCACCCGTAGCCCACGCTTAACGCTCGCCTTCTTTGCACTCACCTAGGTCAGCATGTCGGTCGGGTCGACCCAAACTTGGGCCAGGTTGGGTCCAGGTTCAAATTTCTGACATGTTTTTGTAATTGAGTCGGGTTCCGGTAAGATCAATTGAAGGTGGATCAGTTTCAGGTTGGATCGGAACCCGACCCAAAAACCCATTTTGACACCCTTAACTTCAATAAGGCAATTTAATTTGAGTTGTTCCGATTCACTTTGATATTTGCTTCCAGTATATTTAAATTTTAAACATTAGAACATGATGTAATCATTTAAATATTTTTTTGAATGAATGAAAAAGAATTTTGTTTCGAAAAATTTGTGAGTAAAAACACTAGAATTGTGTGCTTAAACGCCACCTCCTCAACCCCGCACGACACAATTCATCTCAGTGAAACATCAGGTATCACTTCTCTACTTGATGATCTCTCTCCTTACTTTCTCTCTCTTCCCTAACTTCATTCTTCATCTTCTCTCTAACTTATAGTAATAAGTAATTACCCAAGCCTCTTTGAAGGAATCTGCCAAATTAGGATAATCTTGGACCTAGTTTTTCCCTACCTCTTTCATCACCCTCCAAACCCCTTGGATTTCTAACAAAATATTCATTTCTAACATTCATACATCACTCTAACCTTCTCAAGCATCTCCTGTCCATAAATAAACATTACTAGGACATTCTCCCAATTCAATGTTCCTAGATTAGTCAAAATCAATCTACACTAGGCACATTGACCTAATATTTGTTCAACTTCCCTTGCACACTCCTAAGACCTTTTGGATCTCCATAAAAAAAATCTAGAACAAATTTCCTAACATTCCCCTAACACTTCCAAGTGAATGCATGCCCTAAATCCCACTCCATGCCACAACCCTAAAGGTGAAATCCAAAGGGGTAGTTCTATGGTTGGCTTACCCTATGCCTTTGGATATCCCTTTTCCCTTGACCAGCACACCTCAAATTAAATTCCTTCAATTATCCCAGAGTGTTCACCATATCCTTAACCTCCTGCCACAACAAATTGAGGCCTAGTATAACTTCTCCAAGGCTAGGTCACACATGTCCCAATTTCACTTAAATTAAAAATTTACAATCCTAAAACTAACTAAACTTACTTGTATCATTTATTTATTTGCCATTTCCAATGAGTATAAACTTCAATCAACATATTTTTTAAAGCCTTTCTTTGCTTTAGAACTATTTTAAAAATAATTTAGTTCAGTCAACATAAGTGCTGCAATCTACAATCTTGTATATCAAATGGAACAAAAATGTTTTGTTTGATAAAAAAAACATCTTATCTGGTTTTAATTGGGGCAACCAAATTGAAGCGACTAAACTTACTTGGATCAAGTAACATATTTGGTTGGGTTCAATTGGACCAAGTAGAGATAGAGCTAGAGCTGAAGGTAGATCTTTTTCGTTCGGTTTGCTTTGATTGGTCTTACATTGGGCTGTGTGTGTTTAGTTGACCATGTCCACCAATTGCTTTAGCTGACCTCCCTTGTCTAAAGTTTTTCCAATATTATAAAGCAATCAACATGAGGAGAAATTATTCTGTGCGAACGGCGGGCGCAGTTCTATGTCCGGAGACGAATCAGGTGCAGACACGTCAGCGGTACCGAGCAGTATCAAGCCACGGTACCGAGCGAATGAGTGACATGGTGCATTCTGGTTGGTCTTCAGATGGCATTCGGCGTCCGCACATAATAATGTTTCCAACATGAGGTCCTCAGTACCTTTAAACCTTTGTTTTTTATCCAACAGGCAAACCACCCATTGAATTGCTGACAGAGGCTTGTGCTATCAACTCACTTGACATAGATCCTCAAAATCCATCTGTAAGCTCTACTTTGTGTTCATCTTCCTTTCAGTAAAAAGGATATTCATACGATCTGCATATGGTATTTGCAGGATATAATCTGTGGCCTCGAGTGGGAAAGTATTGGCATTCTAATGCGTCCGAAAGAGGCTGCTTTAGTTTACTGAAAACTGAACTACCATTTCAAAGATTTATTTTATTTTGTTTCTTGGTTAGGAAGTTGTACTTTGTTCAAGTGGATAAATTTGTTTTTTCTTTTTTCAACTCAGATTTGAATTGGCTAATCTTCTAACATTCAAACAGAAAATCATTCCTTGCATATATCCTTTTTTTTTAACCACCAATGATTTGGAGGAATTTAAATCATTTTTGAATTTTTTTGTTTTTCCTTGTGGAAAAAAATCTTAATTTTATTTCAACGAAATATCAATTTAGACATAATATTTACATCTTTGATGTATCTAAACAGGCAGGAACAATTTGAAGCTGCCTTCAAAAGTATATAAATTTTAATAAAAAAATATTTAAATAAAACAACTCGAAGATACTAAGATTGTCTAAATCTAAAGTTTAAATTGGTTTACATTAAATCATAAAAATATTAATATAAATATATTGAGGTTATTTAAGCGTTCAAAATATCTTTGAATTAGTTGAATATATAATTAAAATAAGTGTCTCAATCTTAATTTAGAATTCATTAAAAAATTAAGACATTTTAAACCATAATATGATCAAAAGAAGATTTTTTTCATTTATGTATTCATTCAAGAAGAATTTAGAGCTTTTTTTTTTTGGTTTTGGGTCATTTAAGTCAATTAAAATAAACTCAAGCACATCGCATCTACAAAATTCGAATCCAAGACCTCTTGATTTGTATCTAAAAATCCCAACCAACAAACTAAGATGAATTTCATATACTTATAAAAAAAAAATAATAATAATGTTCTTAGATAATTATAAAGCTCTAATTGTTATTAATAGCAATGCCCATCATCAACATACCATGCCCACTATTGCCATCTATCAGCTATATGCATCTGATTTCTATCAAGCAGTATTTGTTGCCTCCTTAGCTTCAAACTATATTTTCGGCTTAGATTTCTTGCAGATCATAAGGGTAGAAACAGAGCATAAACAATCAACCCAAATTATGTGTAAGCTTATCTAAATAAAAGCATGGTTTTAAGTAAAAATATTAAATGCATTTGATTCGATGAAATATTAATTACAATATATACAGCAAGACATTATTATAAAAAGGGGAAATAAATGTACTATCTATCATTTTTTTAATTAGATAATATGATACCTTACATGCCATTAGAAAATTTTTAAAAAATTACCCATTTAAAATGAAATTTTAGTACCAACATTAAATTTTTTTACTAAAATTCTATTTTAAGAAGCAATTAACAAAATCATAGACATTAATAAACTAGACAAATATAACTTAGTCTTTATTTGGGATGACTTTCTTATTGCTTCTTAAAGCAACTTTTTAGTATAAAATTTTAATTTTTATATTAGAAAGCTACTTTAATAAGCAGGAAAAAAGCCGTCCAAAACGAAGCCTTAGTCTGCAGATGTGATCTTTCCTTGCTATTTATTCTATATAATTGGATAATCTGGTATCTAAATATAACAAAAATCTGACTGGTCAGGTAAGAAATTACAATTTAAAGATGGAAATAAATGAAGTAGATGCAATTTGCCAACAACAACCTGTAGCATATATTAGCAAACAAATTTCAGCCTCTTTTCATTTTGATTAATCCAATCCACCAAAAGGAAATAAAATCCTATCTCATTTTTGTTATGAGAAATCATTTAGAGAATGTAGAAATACTCTTTTGAATATAGCGAGCATTACATCATACAATACAGTAATAAGTTTCTATTGGTCATTATAACTCAGCCTCTGGTGGCAGTTCAGTTATAGGTCCGAATAAAGCAGTAAAAATTTTGAATAAATAATTCAACAATGAAAATTTAGACAAGGAAAGGGAAAGGGACTTCAATTGATCAGAAGGCCACCACCAGAATATTCAACCTCCTACATTTGTATAGCGTGTGAATCAGTTATTGGATAAAAAAAAAATTATCTAAAGTGAAATAGATTTGATTATTTAATGCATACATTCTGATATGGTTTAGAGACAAAAATATGATAATTTGGTCCCAGAATGTCACAAGCCCACATTTAGTTCATTAACTATTGAAAATTTATATTCTAATTTGATCCCAAGGTTGAAAATAATAATGAAAGGTATTGCCTTCAAAATTCATATGCATCCCTAAGCATGATTAGATGTATAATATATTTAAACTTGCAATTTCATTGAATCTGATAATAATTGAACAGCAATTTGTGAATGAGATGAAAATTTAATCATACCGGAGCTGGAGCTAGAGATGAAACCCAATCCGAAGGATGAGTGGGCAGAAGGCCTAGTGTGTTCAGCTGTCACAAGATAGAAGCAAATGAAGATTTAAATTTCTTTTTAACTATAGATTGCATACGTGTGGAGTAATAAATTATGTAGCAGTTACTAGTACAACTCACTTTCCATACGCCCAAACCCAGCCCAGCTAGATTGAGTGCAATAAAGAGTAACTTGGGGGTAATGGTATCTACTCTTGAGTCTTTATAAGGTTCAAAAACTGCAACAAAACAAAACAAACAAGTATATATATAATCAGATCACTTTGGCAAGCAGCATAACTGGAAACATACAGGTTTAGCTGATGGAAAACATGAAAATTCCGTTAACTACTAAGGAAGCAAGGCATCAGAAATACAGTAGCCAGTAATGAGGAAAAGGCAATAACAACAGAACAGCAAAGAAGCGCAGGAAATACTATATGGGACCAAAATTTGGGATGTTTAATTCACTAAATAAAAAGTTGAAATAAATCAGCATTAGCAGAAACTAATGATAGACAGGCAAAAGATCATTTGCATAACAGCAAGAGCTCAGGAAAAAATCTGATCCCTGGGTTCGGGAATAAGCCGGTGAAAAAAGTTCTTTTCAGGAGGAAGATTCAACAGTGATGAAGCATTGCCAATAGATTTTGCCCGCTTAGGACTTCATATTCTGGGTTTCAAGATTTCCCAAATACACGCTCTCTCATAGGAGAGAATCCTCTCAATTAAGGCTAGCAATATAGGCCCTCTAATATGTTTGTCCATGATAACTTCATTGGTGCTAAAAGGAGCAGCTTTACTCTCCTACTCAGAGGGATTTGGTTTGTAGGATGATGATACGTACGATCAAAATCTCATGATTCCATCATCCCAGATAAGCATATGGACCATGGACTATCTATAGTCATCAAAAATAGAAACCAAACCTCAAGGGAAGATCATTGTCGGCAACTATGGACAGTCTTGTCCAAAAGAACTTCAAAGATCAAGAGTGAAAGCCAAGGGAAAAGTTTTAGGGCAACTCCAATTGACAAAGGAGCTTGGGTCCTATTAGATGCTTCGAGCATAACAAAAAATTTGGATACATGTGAGACATGTCGGTTGGTTCATAGGTTGGATGAATTTGGCTGTAGATTGACTACGTTGTTTGTACAAAGATTCTATAAAAAAATAGATATGGTTTAATGTTTGGTGGTTTATTTGTTTGTACATGATAGTTGCGGCCTATTAGCTTTCTCTCCACCTAATCAACCATCCACACAGCCTTTTTGGTAGCAAAAAGCAAGGCTACCAGCTAATATATATATATATATATATATATATATATATATATATATATACCTCGGCTTCCATAGGCTTTCGATTGCACGCATCTACAAGCACTTGCCAAATTCTACTTCTTCACTTATTGACCTTAGTGTTCGATTCCTGAAGATTCTATTATTGGCCTCTGATTGAGAGCATGCAAGTTCTCCAACAGTCCAGCACTTTAACTTTTTTGTAGTCGTCTTCTATCTTGTTAGCTTCCTCGCTCCAACAACACAATAATCATAAGGTCATCTTCCACCCAAATTCAAGTTGATGCACTCAACGCCTTGTTGCCATGCAAATTACCATCTTCTGCATCTTTGAGGCTTGGTCCTCCTCCCGCCCCAACATACAGACATGAGATGATGTTTCTAATGTTGTAAGCTCCACCAGTTGATAGAATCCTCCCAACATTTCACATTTGCAAGGCCGCCTAGAGCTTCTGTTCCTTAAGATCAAAACCTCGAAGAAGGTAATCTTTATGCTACCTTTCCTCATTCTTCTCAACGGTGCAGTTTCAACCGCTTCCTATGCCTCTACTAGGTTCTCAACCTAGCAGTCCTTAGCCACTATCCCATAAGGCAACGAGAAAGGGTTAACATACCAGAGGATGACCGCAAGGCTTCCTGTAAGCAAGGAATAAAAAACTAGACTAGACCAACTGATCCGACGGTCCGACCAACTGACCAATCTAGTTAAGCTATTAAATTAGTTTCATATCAAACAGGCTCAAATCTATAAGAGTCAGTGAATATAAATTTTATATAACCACCTAGTTCACAATGTAAACCAATAAGCACCTAATCTAAAGGCCAGGATTTGATCTATTAAAATACTTCTATAAAATTTGTATGATTATACCTAACTCTATCCCTCAAAATCTCATGCTTTTTTTCTTTCGCATGTAATTTTCATCATCATCTCACATTTGCTAGCTCTTCTTCTTCACCGGTCATTCACTCTCTCCCTCGACTGTGATTCGCCTACTCCAACTTGTTTATCTTCTCTATCCGCCTCCTCCACTACTTTTCCAATTCGCCGGCTCTAGCTTATTCATGAGCATGATACCTTTATATTTTAGATCTATTTTTAGACTTTCTGCTGTCAATTTGAAGTGCTCTACTTTCGTAGTTCAAATAAGTATTATCATTAAACAAGTTGAAAAATTACGAAGCAGTTTTACTTTTTTTGTAGGTTGAATCAATTTTCTCTCTATCAAATTTGTAGGATCATTTGATTTTAAAAAAATATTAAAAAGATGGAAGGGGAATGCTAATCTTATTTTGCATAATAATTTGAATTTTATTATATAGTCAATAGATTTACTTCTTATAGGCCTAATTATTTCCTACATTTCGAAATGTTTAGTTGATTCCAAAAAAATTTAAAGGATTATCACGACTAGATACATTATGTGATTATCACATCCACATTTTTATGCATCTAAAAAGAGGTTAGTCATTTAAATATTGATGGTATTTAAATTTAAAATTATTGAAAATATTACTTTTGTATGATTAATATTTCAATTTATAGTTATATTTATTTTTGCCACATATTTGAATTATTACATCATTTAGGATATATTTAAATAATATTAATATTTATTACATCATCATGTTCAACCTGTGATTCAACTCATTTTAAACATTTGAACCTTAAACCTCTCATTTTGATTCAATGTTTGATCTAATGTTCACACCTTGCTATAAGCACCCTTTGGAACCCTTCGAGACAAGCCTCAATGCCCAATTTAGAAGGTTAGATTGACCTTTGTCAACAAGTACATATTCATTGTCAGATCGACGGATACTCCCAATAAAAAGTCAATGGCTCCATTATATTTCCATCACCTTGGCCACCTCTCTAGAAAGTCCACAGTTATCTAATTGACAAGTTGTCAGCCACTCCCCTTGTTATTGTCTTCCGCATATTGTCCATGGGAAGTTGGCGTCTTAAATAAGATAAACTTATCGGCTTTTGGGAGATGACATCTTACCAACCCATATCGAAATGACTTGTCTCATGCTAGATGGAGCCTTTAGCCATGGGATGACGCTTACATGCCAAACCATAACTCACCCAATAACTCAAGTCCGTACACATGCCCACCGACCTCAAACACATGCCCATCAAACTTTCGGTCTTTGCAAATTGACCAACTCACAAGTTTGTTGGCTCCCCTACCCACTAGCTTGTCCTCTTATAAGCTTCCAAATTGTGGACTGCCAAGACAACAACTCCTAGACACATTTGAGAAGCCAGAACCATGTCCGCTCATATACTAGTATATCCAACTTGAATAACTGACCTTCAACTCACGACATGATGGGTCCAACATGATGGGTCCCAAGTCCAACACACTTCCATCCAAATGATTTTAGTCAGGTTAGCTCCCCATCCCCCTTTTATCTAAAACCCTTCTTGTGGATCCATCTGCTAAGATTCACATTGTATTGCTTTTACTAATGTAATAACTGGTCATTTATTTTTAAAAGCATTGAACTATTTAAAGGCTAATGAAAAAGTCTAATGCACATAATAAAATCAATATTTTAGTATTACAGATGTGCTGTTTAGAGAGTAGGATTGAAAATCGAGAGGGTGAAGACTTTAAATGTGTGACACAACGTCCTTCTTCAAATCTCACATGTCCTCTATGTATAGCTTTTTTAGAACAACTAGAGATTTATAGCATTTTCAAAAATTAACTACTAATGCATGTGCACTTCCATTTCTTAGAAGGCAATATTAAACCTGCAGGAAAGATTTTCGAGAATGTTAATTTTGGACCAAGTCGATAATGCATATATTATATATCTCAAAATCAAGTCAACATATAGATAAAAAATAACTGAATATTTTCGTCCCATTGCATGCCCTTGTGCATTTTTCCTTCCATATTGATCAACATGTCATGCACTATATCAAAACTCAATGGCATGCTTTAAATCTACAAGTGAAATCAAAAGGCATTCCCCTATTCAAAGTTAAAAATTCTATCTTTATGTTACTCTTCCCATTATTAGGCATTTAGGAGAATGTTCACTTAGCATTAGGTTCCTTCTACTAGTTCATGCAATTACTTACAAATTCTTTAGGAAAACACAAGGCCAATCTCTTTATATGGCCTTTGTTTTGAGACAATTCTTTCAAGCTCTTCTTCACAGCTGATGAAGAATAAGTCTCATCTTATCATTCAGCAATCTCTCTTCATGGATTGAAAACACCACATATATATGCTGACATCATCCAGATGTCTCCTTTTTGTTGTTTTATCCTATAGTGTGGCCCTGTGTGCTTAATTGCCTACTTGACCTAATTAAGATAATTCCTTAGATCCCCTATGTTGAATCCAATAATAAGAACGAGCATCTCTAACAAAGAATTAGAGGGGAAGATGGGGAGAGTAGGCCAGCGGGTGTTGGGAGACGGGGAGGTGGCCGGAGGTGCGGGGGAAAGGGAGATAGATGAGCCGCAAGTCTCGGACTCTTCCAAAGATTGACGGTATTGCAATCACCCTCACCTAGGGTACTCTTTCTTCTCTCAAAGCTCACCACAATGAAGAAGAGAAAAGCTCAAAATTTTATTCATCAAAATCATCATCCCAAATACAATAGAAGGTGCCTTATATATAAGCCTCAATCATGACAAAAGGAAAAAGACTAGAATGAACATAGTGCTACAAAAGCAAACTAACTACCCATAGGGTTAAAGTAGGGAAATTGAAATATAAAAATAAGCAATACATAAAATGCATCAGAAATAAAAGCTCCTGATCGTGGTCATCGATCTTCGATGCCTCCTCTGACAAACGTGCCAAAATCTTTTGTTGATGTCCTCATCATTCTCCCCGGGTAGGAGAAAACTCGACCCTGTCGAGTGAACATCTCGAGAACCCTCGTATAGCTCTAACATATATGGATCC